AAAAACAGCAAATCCTCAAATTTAAGAATCAATTCTAAACCTTTTTATCAAGTATTTTTGCTGTTGAAACCCTGTGGCATGATGCAGATGTCGGATCAAGTGATTTGACCTGTTTCTGGTTCCTTCAGAACAAGTACAAGCAGAGCGGGAAGAAGTCGATGTCGTCCAGTTTGTACTCTCAGCTGCCACAAACCGCCGAGACGCAACTCGCCGGCAAGATGTCCGACCTGCAGAGCGAGGTAAAGCATGTGTGTGTACACATGTGGATGTTATCGCTCCGTCTCCCCCTCACGTCTGGAAGACTTTGATGGTGTTCGTCACGGTGTCCTCAATGTCCTCTGCCTCTCTCTGTCCAGAGCAAATACAAGGAGGACGGGATCAAGAGCCTCTCTCAGAGCTTCTACNNGACTCAGTTTGCTAAAACTGTCTCTGAGCTGCAGAGCGGGGTGAGAGAAACCGCCATTACTTTTACTTTTCTTAGTTTTTTTCTTTATTTCTTTTTTGTTTCACTTGATTCAAGCTCAGGACATTGGCAGTGCTTACAACTGAGCCACCATACAACTTAAAATACCTCAAATTTAGCACAATTAAAGGTCAATCCGAACTGAGGCGTGTGGCGTAAACGGCGGCTAACAGCTGATGTTTCCTTCAGGCCAAGTACAAGGAGGCGAGCAGGAAGGAGGCGAGCAGCTGTCTGTACCACCAGCTACCTGAGACTCTGGAGACGCTACATGCTAAAGAGGCTACTGAGCTGCAGAGTCAGGTACACACACACTCACATGTACAGTAGTGTATTATCAACAAATTACATTACTGCGGACCATTTTCTAAATCGTACAGTCATGTTTTACACTGATCAATGCATTTTCCTAACATCCACGGTTCCACCAGTTTCTATTAACTTCAGTATATTTAAAAGATCGACCATCAGGGACTTGAAAGGTGCTTTAGATTGATAATCCATCACAGTTAAAGGCATAATGAGTAGGATTTGTCACTTGCTGAAAAGCACAACACAGCTGTAGTGTCTCCCAGATTGGTGTGTTTATGTTGGTGGGAAAATCCAACATTCAAGACTTCTGAATGGCAACAAGAGGTTTAAACTCACTGACATAATTCTTTGCCTTCTTTCATTCTTTTTTCTGTTTTATTTTTGCATCGCTATCCAACTTCACTCTGTGAATTTTTGAAGTTTGATGTTTGCTCAGGCCATTGAATGAAACAACATGTAGGAGTTTCCGGGAAGGGAACGGTCCAAGATTCTGAAAAAGAAAACAACTCATTTATTGAATTTTCTCACTGTCTTCAGTCAGTTTTAATGTAATTTTTTCCTGCTGTCAGCCCTGTGTCCTCTATGTCCTCTCCAGCTGAAGTACAAGGAAGGAGGTAAAAAAGAGATGAGCACCAACCTGTACTCTGCACTGCCCGAGACAGAAGAGATGAAGTTAGCTAAAGCTGCCATGGAGCTCCAGAGTGAGGTGGGTGGACGGTTACGATGTGTGATCACACCCATGGTTCATTTGCCAAAAAGGAATAGTTAGATTTAGCTCATTCAGTTTACAAGCTGAAGAACTGTAAAGAAATACATGCACTCAGTATGTCATCTTATGTGCTTTTATGCACAAACTGAGTTACTATTCTTAAAGGTCCAGTGTACATTGCAATGCAATAATAATATTCAGAGGTGTGTAGGACCATTTTTGTTTGTTTCATGTAAAGACCTGTGTTGCTCACGCCCCAGTTGAACCACCCCAGGTTTCTGCAGTCAAGCCCCAGCAACCAGATACATACCATGCTACTACGATAGTCCTCCAACATGCTTGGACGCATGAGTGAGGGCGAAGGGGTGTTGTAATCTGCAACTACACCACTCGAGGAGCGAGTCTCAAATACAAACATATTCCCTTGTTATTAATTATTTTTGTAAACTTTTTTCTTGATGGTATATTAGTCATTCCATCCTGGTGTGTGTGTGTGTGT